ATATATGGACTATAGTACAGAGTATTTCGTCAAAAATGACAAGGAGAAAATTCTCCATTTTTACAACTTTATCTGATACATATACATGTTCTTATGTTGTGTTTCAAATTTGAGCTGATTCCGATCGAATTTAATTTTTTTAATGAATTTTTAAAGTTACTCCAAAATCAAGCCAAAGTCCCTGTACTATAGTACAGGGATTTTGGCCAAGTTTCGCCAAAAATGAAAAGTAAAGAATTCTTCATTTTTATATTTTTCCCTGATACATATACATGTTCTTATGTTGTATATCAAGTTTGAGCTGATTCCGATCAAGCTTGGATTTTTTACGAATTTTTAAAGTTGCTCCAGAATTGGGTCTAATTAAGACTGTACTATAGTACAGGGTATTTCATAAAGAAGGTTCATGTATAATGATGATGACAATGATCATGAACTACAACTTTACCTTGATCTAGTGTTAGCCATGTCCTCCATTCAATTGGAATAAATTCAACTCTTTTATTCTTCCATTGATCAGGGAAATGCTTAAGAGCAGTCTGTCTATAAGTATCCCTCAAACTATAAATAAACATTTAAAAAGAGCCATCAACTATAAAGAACTACTTTCAACTACATGTACATGTAGCTTACAGCTGGTAATGATGATGATGATGATAACAATCCCATCAGTTCAATAGTTAGTCCATTACTGGATACTTTACTAACAAAACCCTCAACTAACTGATCAGGAACTATCAACTGATATAATTATATAAAATTAAAAAGATACTATACTGTAGAATCGACACTGAATTAAAAATTATTATTATTATTATTATTATTAATGTATAAGTGTATGAAGTTACATTGAGACTGACTTGTAATGCTCTTTCAGTTCTATATGACACATCAATCATCATCTGATACTCAATTGGAGGGAAAGTTTTAAACATTACACCTGCCATTATGAAATTATACATAATTCTAATTTATAAATAATTAATAATGATTCACTTGTATCCATTACACTACATGTATTTGTGGTCGAATGTGTCGAGTGATTGTCATGAGAACAGAGTCGATCCAGGAGGTCTTTATGTTTTTGAGTGAAATCAGTTACTTTCTCAATAAGTGGATCAGAAGGAGAGAGATCACGTGACTTCACATGTTGTCCTTCAGAGTCGTTCTTCTCTTCATTTGAATTGTAATTACAGTCAGACACAGGAGAAGAAAAGGAATAATAATTACTGCTACCTAATACTTCTTCCTCCATCATCAGGGGCCACATACGCTTGACTTCATTGACTTGGAGTCTTGGTAGTCCTGTCCTGGTGGGTGTGCCTAATCAATAAACCAGCCCCTCCCTTTTATGTACCAGCTAAGTCGTTGTAGCCCTTGTTGTTCATTGCATAGTTAGTTTGTTGACTTTGTTCATTTGCTCTACTATCTTTGGTTAGCTTCAGGTTCAAGGAAGAGTTTAATGGAACTATGGCCACTAGTCAAACTTGTAACTTAGGTATGACATTGATATTAGAATTCAACATTTGATTTTGACTTGTATGCAGATATTTGTGACTTGATTGATGTCCTTGACTTATTGAAAAAATGTAGTTTTCAAAGAACAAAGTGGCAAGAGCTGGGACTAAGAATAGGTTTAGTAAAAGATACACTGGAAGCCATTGAAACAAAGTATCATGGTGATGTGAATCAATGCTTGACAGAGTGTCTTTCCCAATGGCTACGTAGAGCTGATAATGTTGACAGTAGAGGAGGAGCCAACTTGGACTCACTGTCAAATGCTCTAGGATCTATGAATGAAACTGCTGTAGCTGAGAAGTTAAGTGAGTCAACCATAACTGTATGTAACTATAATCATTGTATTTTCTATCATAGAACATCATGTTTTTGTTAATATTTTTAATAATCGTCATACTGTCCTGTCTCAGTCTCTTTGTGATCCTGTTAGTATTGCTTGGTTACTTTATGGTGAACGTATGCTAACACAAGAAGCAGTTAGTAGAGTGGTGTCAGCTAGTCCCTCTATTCCTAATCAACGTGAGGCTCTGTTAACTGCTGTCAAAGAAGCTGTTCAAACTGATCCCAACAGTTTACATACATTTGCTAATGTATTGTGTACAATCAGTACTAATGTATCACTGGGACAAACTATACTGGATGATATTAGTGAGTATCACTGGTCACTATAATTATATTCATAGTTTTCCTAATTAATGACAATTGTTTGTTTGTTTATTTTTATGTGTTTAGGTAAGTATTTTCCTACTCCTGAAGTGGGTGTGGTTCCTGAGATATCTATGATATATCTATGTTATATCTATTTATGTTATATCTATCTATGTTATATCTATGTTAAAGATCATGATGTAGTTCCACAAGGTAATATTTATTAATTAATTGATAATGCATTCATTAATATTCATACTGCCAATGAAACCAACACAACATAATCTGGTATCTATTACATTAATGTATGTACAAATTGTCCTTTTCTTTTGTAGGTAGTACTGCTAATACTGAAATTAATACAAGTACAATACAAGTAGATAATACAGGTACTGCTGATGAAACCAACACAACACAATAGTAATAGAATTGATTTATTATTTATTTTTTAATTCATAGATTCTTCTCCTTCGAATGTAGAAGTCACTAGTAATTTGTCTTCACAACCTTTATCACCTCAAGGTATACATACATGTACATACTACTCAACTAATGATATCTTTTGTACGTGTAGCAGGAATACAAGTTCCTGTTTCAAAAGGCTTACAGGTTGACTTCAAGTCAATGAGAATGTCTTATGGAAGAATGATTTACCATGTTAAAAAGATTATTGAGCAAAAATCTCCTCCTTTAGAAGAAATGAAGGAACTAATTTCTTGTTGTAGTGCAGATCTTAAACGGAAAGCAGAGCAATGTAATGATCTTTCTGGTATCCTACGTCTTATTCAAAATGAGTGCTCACTGACTGATATTGAACTCCTTCATAGTGTAGTGGAGGAAATGAATATTGCTGAGGCAGATGAACTCATTAAAACATACAAAACAAAGTTAAAGGAATTCTGCAAGTCACTCTCCATTAGTCTTTGTTTGAAGGAAAGATTTGCTTCCATTCCTCCTCTTCAATGTGTAACAGTTACTCTTGTATTTGATTGGAAACCCGAGGAGCATATGTTGGAAGATATCAAGGAAATTCTTGCAAAAGCGTCCGGTAAATTACTGCAGATTAATTATATAGAACATTCATCAATATGTGTCACTTGCTCCTTTCCTTTCTCTGATGTTGGGTTTACTGTATTGAGGATGATAGAGAGTATTCATATACTAATGGAACAAGGATTAAAGAAACTGACTATTGGTAACTTAACATTATGGAGGAGACAAGATGCTAGACAAAAGGTACATAATATGAATAATTGAATATTGTTTTATGAATATTGTATTGTATAGGAACTAAAAGAAAAGGATCAAGACTTACTACAACACACTGAGGTCAGTTAATATAATCATTCCTTTTATTAGTTACATTATAGTACCTGTACAATGTAACAATGTGTTCAGTTCCTTGTAATGTGTTAATTATATGTACAGGTTATTTCTTATATTATACTTGAAGAAGCTGAATATAAACTAAGAGATATTATCAGTAGTAAAGAGAAGGTATGTCATACTACCAGATTGTGGAATGTAATCTTAATTGTATTTATAGGAAAGTATTGAGTTGAAACAAGAAATATCAATGGCTCAAGTAACTGAGGTTATCTTACATTCTTCACATGCTTCTTGGTTGTTATTTTTATATTTTAATTATTAGGAGGAATCATTGCCTGTTCAAAGAGATACTGAGTCAGTTAAAGAAGCTGAGGTACATCTTACTAGTTTGTATTAATTATATATAATAATTATTAATAGGAAGAACCACTTTATGAAGAGTTAACTGTATTGAGGTCTCAGTTTAATGAGATACAAAAAGAAAATGAAGAATTGTCAGACAAATTATCAAAAATGAAGATTGAGTATTTGAGATCACTTACTAGTAATACTGATTCAGGTTAGAGTAGTTTATTAATTATACTAATAATTATGTAATTTATTAAAGCTGCTAGCAAATTAAGAAGAGGAATGGCTTTTGAAATTGATGACTGCAAATTTTATCTTCAAGCAATGACAAGACCAGACTATCAGCCATTAGTAGATAATAAAAGATTAATAGAGAAATTACAAGAAAGAATATCATTAATGAATATGGAACTAATGACTGAAAGAGAACACAATGAGAAGATTATAAAAGATATTAAAGGTTTTATTGATGATGTGTATCATCATTTGATTGTTGATATTTTTTTGAATAGATCATTTGAAAGAAACTGAAGGGAAGGAACAAAAAACTGAAGAAGAAATGTGTAAAGTAAGAGTGAGACAGACTATATACTAGATCTATATCCTTTTATTTTATAGATTTACTTATATTGTAATCATCCTGTTGCTGGCAAATTAAAAAAGTCATTCCTTAAAGCACATAAAGATGAATTACTACCCAGTGTACTGGATAAAGCTTATGAGGTTTAGTATTATTAGTTGATTTATTTCTATTTATTCTTTCATTTTTGTTCATTTCTTTATCAGTTAATGGAATTAGCTCCTCATATTCCTATTGAAAGATGTCGTTTAGTTAAATATGATTATTGGAATAAAGTAATGGAACAGTCCTTTGATGGGGTAAATGCTATCTATCCTATTCTTATAATTATATTATTATTAAATTTAGTTTCAGCATCTAACTATTGGACAGATTGTGGGTAGGGCTGAATATTTATTTTTAGAAACTTGTAAAGAAAATGAAACCTTTAAGAAATACAATTATGGAGGTGGGTGTGGTTTTTTACCGCGACATCGACAATACCTCTAATTACATGTACATGTGTTTGATGGTATAGGTGTTAGTCTAGAGGTATCAGTGGTTGATCTGTCAACTGGTGGAGTAGGACCAGCTGTACCAGTGAGAGGAGAGGAAGGTTGGACTGTTGAAGTATTAAAACAACATATAGGAGAAGTAAGAGGAAGGATATACTGTCATTTGTACTGTTCTCCCTCCATTGATCTGGTTCATTTCTTTATTTAGGTATTTAATATCAACCCATCATGTATGAGACTAGTAATAGAGTATAGTTACTACAGTCATGCTGCAATTCATAGTGATGTAGAAGATAGTACTTTAGAACGGGAATATATACATTGGAATGATATTGCTTCATTCCATGATATCAGTGATTCTGCAGGAAGTACTTTAAAGGAGATACTTCATGGAAACAATCAAAATAGACAAGTATTAACATTAAAACTATAATGAATATTTAATTTTGTGATTTCTCAAAAATTGTTGTTGGTATATTTATGGCAACCATATGTGTCATTGAGCATGTGCAAATTGAACAATATACATGTACATGTAGTGGATTTTACAAAACCTGCTAATCAGCCAACATACATCAAGCTAATCTTAATTTATTTAGTATTTTTTCACTTTCATTTTTATTCCTCCTTACACGCACACACACAGTTATGCGTGTCATCAGATCCTGAAGATTATCAAAAAAAATTCGAAGATAGTTTGATGTACAAATATATTGATTTTTACATCCAATGGGGCACATTACTGAATATTACAATACCTCCTGGACCTGAAACCACACCCACTACAACTAATGTTACTACAGGAGGAATAATAATGAAAATTTTATCAATAAACAAAGAAAAAGAAAGAAGTACATAATATTATGATAATAAGATTATTATTATTATTATTATTATTATTATTATTATTATTATTATTATTATTATTATTATTATTATATATATATATATATAGCACAATGATGACATCATTCCTTTGATGTGGCGGGTCCTATATTTTGTATATAGACCTGCCATCCAGAAATGCTGTCATCATTATGCAATATATCATATATACCATATAGCCGAAAAATTTGGCAGTCTGAAACTTTGGCGGTTTTGCATCAAAACTGTCTTAAATATAATATTGGCGGTTGACTATCTTGTCTTTTCTTTAAGCACACTCAGCTTTTCTTGAAGCTGCTCCTTGGCAGTTCTTGCCCACAGTCTTGACTCTGTGACTGAAATAGTGAGAAATACTGCCATTTTTCATTATAATGAACCCGCCCATAAAATTGCAATTATTATTCGCGGTTATAATATTGGCGGTTTTATTTTGAACCACCAATCCGCCAAATTTAATTCTCCGCCAAATTTTCTAGCTATACGGTAGTATACTAGAACAGTCTTATATACAGAATATAGGACCTTTGGTTTGTGTCCTTGGATGTGATATAGCCCTCGGGCCTATGGCCCTTGGGCTATATCACATTCTCGAACACAAACCTCAGGTCCTATATTTTGTATATGCGACCTACTAGTATGCTATATAATATACATACATACATATATATATATATATATATATATATATATATATATATATATATATATATATATATATATATATATT